TATCGCGATTGAGTCGCGGCGATGAAATCGCGTGAACTCTATCTTGGGCCTAAAGGGTGTTTCGCGACCTTTGTTTGTTTGTGTCTCTTTGCCTAAATCTTTACGACTTGAACTTTGGCTATTTACTGACGACAACGGTGGAACAACTTTTATTTATAAGCATGTCATGAGAGTCATCTAATTTTTGAATATGTATAAGCAGATGTTTCAAATCTCCACAGTCCACTGAGGACGTGATATTTGTCCGTATTGAATACCTTGGATAGTTTTATACACTCTGAAAATGACTTGATACATCTGGTGTCTATTCATCTCCATAATACTTCTCCGTAATACGCACTTTTGCATAATAGACTTTTCACTGTCCATCATAGGAACTTGCAACTTTTCACTTTGTCCATTACATTCATAAAGAATTGTGTCCACTGGGATTACTATGACAGCTGTTCCAGCACCAAACATTTCGTACACCTACAGTGAGCCTTATAAACATTGATACCTGCTTAAAAAACGAAATTTTCGCGAAGCAATGAACTAGCAGCATAATGAGTGTGATATGTACAAATATTTTACACGTAGTCATAGGAAAACTCGTGGTACATACCCTCTTTTCTTTCACAGCTTTTCTTAACTCATTCATGGTATAATCGCGCTCCGTCACTTTGATCCCACCCATTTCTCTTGCGAGTTCCAGTATAGACTGACGTGTTACTCCGGGCAAAATCACCCCTAGATTAGATAAGGATAATTCTATCTCAGCATAGGTCCTTTTATAGAAAAAGGGTGCACCAAGTTGATCTCAGTTTGTACTTTTTTTCTAAATGCAAGCAGGAGATAGTTACTTTTGACTCTAGCTCGCTCTGGAAGTATCTGGTTTTTTATGTTTTTGCTCTATAAAAGTACTGCGCGTATCTTGGAGGTCTAGAAATGTTTCAAGGCAGTAATCGAGCAATGTTAGAGTTTCTAGGATTACAGAGCCATGTGAAAATGGACGCCTCGGCTACGCCATCGCGCAAGTGCGAAGCCATAACAAGCTGAATTTGTTTCAGTGAAGCCCCACCCCCCTGCCATATGTGCAAGCGACCTATACGTGATCGGAATATTTAAAATCTTTTAACAATCTAAATTCTTTGTAAATAGTTTTCGGAAGCGTAGCTGCCGCCAAGCCCCCTTTTCTTCATAATCTCAGGGTTGCGGGTCCACAAAAATTTTGAAAAGATCCCAAAAATTTTCCGAAGTGCGTTCCCCTCCCCCTTTCCGAAGTTTTGAGACTGCCACTGCTAATGGGATATCTCCCACATTTGTAATTTTTCTCCTCAGTGGCAGAGTGTCTATGTCGCCGCAATCAAGATTATCTATCAGACTCCAGAAGCTAAAGCCCGTTTTTGCAAGTGTTTCTTGAAATTCAC